AAAGAGACCAATAAGAGAAGGAGCTAAACAGAGGCTGAAGCTCAAGAAAGAGACCAATAAGAGAAGGAGCTAAACTGGAAGCTCAAGAAAGAAAGAAAATATAAAAAAGAATAAAACAGATGGGTAGATCTATGCATCCAGAAAGTAGATTACGATCGCCCAGCACTGGGGGCTAGGAAGAACAGGGAGTATGACAGGCAGCACGACAGTCCCCAAAGGTGTCCATGTCCTCTTCTGCGAAAACTGTGAATGTTATATGACAAGGGGGAATTAAGGTTACTAATCAAGGGGCCTGAAAATAAAGAGGTTATCCAAGTATAATCTATATTGCAATCATGAAAGCCCTATATAGAGAAAAGGCAGGCTGAAGAGTCAGAATGAGAGAGACAGCATCATAGAAAAGATCTGAGCAGCCCTTGCTGGCTTTCAAGATGGAAGGCAGCCATGAGCCAAAGAATGCAGCAGCCTTGACACTGGAAAACACAAGAAATGGATCCCCTGGAGCCTCCAGAAAGGAATGTAGCCTTGCCCATACTTTGGTTTTAGTCCAGTGAGACCCATTTTAGACTTCTGTCCTCTAGAACTGTAAGATAATAAATTTATGTTGTTTTATACCACTAATTTTGTGGAAATTTGTTACAGCAATGATAAGCAATTAATATGGGGAATGACTGCTAATGTGCAGAGAGAATCTTTTGGGGGTGGTACAAATGCTCCAAAATTAGATTGTAACAGTTGTTCAGCCCTGTAAACATACTAAAGTAACTGAGTTGTATACTTTAAATGTGACTCTAAGGCATCTAGTAATATTGCAATAAAGATGTTATTTTTGTTCCAAGATGAGTAAAATATGTATAATCCTCTTTGTCAACTAAAGAATAAATTAAAAAGAAAGTTGAATAGGAAATGATGAGGGGAGAGGAAGAAATGAAATGCTGGTTGGTGGCCTGGAGACTCGAGAGAGAATTCAGGGACTATGAACTTCAGGCATCTCTGAAGTTGAGGGAAGAAGGGCTAAGCCACAAGAAAGGGCTGGAAACCTAACCAGGCCTCGTCACAGACCGCAGCATGGATTAGGATCTAGCTCCAGCCAGCTCTTCCCTAGAAAACCACGTCTTCATTTGTAAGACTTAGTTCTTAGCTTCAAAGAATAAATAGATAAAAAATGATAGAGCAGATGAGTGGTTGTTGCCAACTTCTGATTAAAAGAAAAAAGTCCACCAAAAACAACTTAAGACACAAGAAAAAGAAGGAGTATTCAAACACAATTGGAATAACTAATTTGAAATGAAACATGAGAGCACAGACAAGAAACCTCCTGACATGTCTGGGAAATCCCACTCCAAGCATGAATGGGAATAAGCAGAGAAGAAAAGGACGCTGATTCACATTATTTCACTCTTCAGAGCCAGGCAGATGGGAGAGCTTATATTAACTGTATTTACGTTTAACAAATGTCTCAATGTTGGATTCTTTGCAAACGTTCATGTACATCTATATTATTTTACACCAGAGTTTTTCAGGTGGGGAAAGGCTTTGACTCCTGATGCTAAAAAGCCTATTGATGGCCGACAAATTATTATATGTCTATTTTTAAAAAATGATGACATTTAGAAAGCAGATCTGAGACTGTGGTTTCTGCCTTTCTTCCATCTGCAATTGCCGTGGAGTCTTTAAACAATTAGGTAGCTTTTTCAATAACAGATTCTAAAAGATGTAGAAAAATCTGTTCTTATGGGAAGTTTTGTATTCTTCAGGCACAATATTGCTGGAACAAGGGAATACAGAATGGTTTTCTTCATATTCTTCAGCCTTCTCTTTTCCTACTATTTCCACCTCCTGGTCATTATCACCACCAACCTGGACAGTGACCTACCTGTAGCATGATCATAATAATGAAAATTATCCTAAAAAATGAGTCACCAGAAAATTCTCAAGGAAACGTGAAGCTTTACTAGCATAGAACAATTTCCTTTTAATCAATGGCAAACACTATCGATCCTTCAGAACCAGATGACGTTTCAACTCTGGATTGAAGGCTACGCACTTCCTCAGGCAACGGCTCATGGTAGAGTTTATCTAACGGGCATGCCAATCACTCATTCCCCAGGGCTGGATTCTCTAGCTGGGGTCCGATTTCAGGTCAGATGTGAAGAAAGCTATTTGTTTAAATGCCAAACATTAAGCTCCCTGTAAAAATACACTCAGAGAACCAATCAGAAGGATGAATTGCACGCCCTGGGGTTTCTTTCCTTTTGTTTAGAGGGTGTTAACATTCAGTATCTTTCATAACTACTATTCTTCTTGCTTCTTTCTTTCAACACCATACCATCTTCTTTGCAAGATGTGATCTGCACCCTTCTAAATAATATTCTTAACTGTATCTTATATTGTCAGGTACCTCAAAACTATAAGAGTAGGAAAGAGTATAAATAACTAAAATGAAATAAATCTATCCGACCTTGATCTGCGTTTTATCCAATTACAAAAAGTGAAGGAAAAAATAAACTAACTCTGAGCAGCAATTCAAGACACAGAGGTGCTGTTCGCAGCAGCCATGCCACAGCCTCAAGAGAAGCTCTAACCCCATCTTTCCCTTCCCGCTGTAAATCCAGGGTGGGATGTGACAGCTGGGGCTTAGCTAGTCCAGGGTTGCATCCTCTCCAGGCTGGGGACATGTGTTACCTATCACGGTTTCTATGGGGGAGGAAGACCATTGTTTGCCAGAACCCACAAATGTTTTACTGCCTCTTTCCCTGGACCCTCACCCTGTCATTATTTGTCATCCTCTAAGTCCACCTAGGAGAGGGCACAGGGAAAGAAAATAATACTTTGGCCATAGAACTGAATGCCAGAGTGGGAAACTATCCTTTCCATGGTGAAGGAAGGAAGAGGTGGGAAAGAGCTCCAGAAGGTTGAACTGGGGTGCTGAGCCGTGGGTTTCTGGATTTTGTGCACTGTGAGTGAGGAAGGCCCATATCCTCCTTCACTTCATCCATGTGGCCCAGTCACTGCCTGATGGGTCCTGGCCCCAGCACTGGGATCTTCAGTACATCCTTTCTTGCTTGGGCCTTCGTCTCCTTGTATTTGTCGGTTAAGGGGGATGGACTGGATAATGCTGAGGTCCCTCTAGTTTTACAATTCAAATATTCTCAGGTCAGATGGCACTGGCTGGAGAATTCACACTTTAGAACAGAGGTTTGCAAACTGTGGCCTGCAGGCCAAATCTGGCCCAAGGCATGCTGTCCTACAGCCCTCGAGCTAAGAATGATTTTATTTTGTTAAGTGATTGGGAAAGAAAATCAAAACAAGAATAGCATTTCATGACATGTGAAAATCACATGAAATTCAAACTTTACGCTCATAAGTAAAGTTATCTATTATCTATGGCTGCCTTTACACCACAGCAGCATAGTTGAATAGCTGCCACAGAGATGTATGGTCCATGAAGCCTAAAATACTCGCCTTGTGAAGTTAGCCAACCCCCAATTAAGAGAAGTAACAGTGTCCTTTAGGAGGTGGCAATCTGTCCTGAGTGGACATGCAGGAAACGATGCCTGTGTGACGGGGGAGAGCCAGCCAGGACACAGTGAGGAGGCTGCT